TATTAAAGAAAGCTCAAAGCGAAAGAAAGTAATGATAGGGAAGAGCATAAAATTTGTGAGGGCTTGACATACACTGCTTGTGAAGCTGCAATAATCAGAAAAGTCCTCATCTGCCTCAGAAAGTGTTACCTGAGTTATCATGTCATGATGACTCAAACTTTCTTCTGTCTTTTTAAACACTGGAGTTATGATGACTCCTGGCCACCTTCAAAGGAGCCCTCTGACTGCCTGGGCAGAGAGAAGCCCCCCAGGAACCTCAATTGTTTTATACTAACTGAAGAAAGCGATATTCCAGAGTACTCCTTTTGCTCCATTTGTTACAGAGATAACCATTAGAAAGGAAAAGGGCCATGGACTTGTTCCCCACAAAACTAATCAGTAGAGTCAGCAGCTTAAATGCAAAATGCCTTCTGTTTCCTCTGGATTCACACACAATTGACATTACCAAACTCAAATTAATAACATTGAAAAGCATAGATTTATACACCTTAATGAAAAGCACCATTCATTCATACTTTCTTGTTATGCCACCTTTCTTCTGCAATTTATATGGTCCACTGCATGATGCAGTATTCCATCTGCTAACCACTGAATGACAAACCAAAATTTTGTGTTCCTGCAATTCCAATTTCCCCGTTGCCACATTTAATGCCCCCACAAGAAGAATCTCTCAGCTGGCTCAAGACAGCGACTCTAGCTGGTATGGCCTTCCTAAAGAATGATATCGTGATATCATAGCCTGACATGTTTACTCCTTAACAGAGGTACAAGAGGAAACAACTTGAACCAGAAGTGAAACAGACCATGCCATTTTCAGCAGTATGATTAGATTGCTTATTTCTTTACAGCTCGACATGTATCCTTCTTATCTACTCACTGTGCTAAGCCAAAATGCCAAAAACATAAAACATAGCTGTATGAGGTCACTGTGGCCTTAGTCAATTTTTTTACTGAAGAAAAAGAAAGACATGCTGTTCATTCTATTGAATTTATATACTGATGCTTGATAAAAATCCAACCTCAACCAAAGATTCATGCAGGGAGGCTGAACAAAAACATGCAGCTGGCACACACCACATGACTTTTTCTCCTAGTGGTTAGAAGTGTGATTACTCTTAAATGCATTTTCCAAAGATTCTAGAACACAAATAATTTATAACTTTGCTTATCAAATGCTATAGCTGAAGTTTATAATAAAAGTTGCAATACAGTAATTATTACATAACAAGGCTAACTGATTCCCAACAGAATTACCCCTGTACCTTTTATTCTTCTGATAAGTACAACTCTTCTTTTTTCTAAAGCAGTTCTAAACAAATTATGGACAAATGTTGCTTCTCCCATATGCAGTAGGCAACAGCATCTGAGTGACTGTGATTGAGTGAGATCATCACAGCTGGAGAACAGGAAATTACCTGAGGGTGAAGGGAGTCAGAAAATTATCTGTTCCAGGGTCCAGAAGGTCTTCTTGGCTGCTGGGGTCTGCAGTGGCTGGGTAAGAATGAATTAAACAGCAGAGTGAGAATAAAAGGCAATGCTCTTGAAGGTGAACAATACAAACTAACGAAACCTCTGGCCTAGGTTTTATATATCTATGTGTTTGTACTTCAAAGTTGTATTTAATCATACTTAGAGTTCAAAGACCCTGAAAATAAAGAATACTTTATCCAGGATTGTATTTAGTATTGTGTAATTTGAATCCCTACATGACTGAGAAAAGTTCCAAGTGATTATTGATGAAACTTTGAGTATAGTTCCTCACATTTCTTCCTCAGCCAAATATAAAAATGAACCGTGAAGTTTGGTTATTTATTTGATATTGAGTGTTATTTTAAGCACTCCACTAGGCCCAGCTGTTCTCTCAAATACTTTTAAATGGGCTTTCTTTGGCTTATCAATTCACTGATTTAGGAGTTTGTTTACTTGTGCACGTCTCTAGGTGTATGACCACGTTATAGCAACAGCTGTAACTGTTGCCTGTGGATATTTTCTTGGACAAAATGGATGACTCAATGCCTTTTCTCACATGAATTCAAGGTGTGGTCACCTACTGCAGTGTGTTTCTGTCTGGAATAGCAACTTCTCATGACATGCAGCATAGAAGAACAACTTGTATAATGCTTTTATAATGCTCTCTCTGACCATTCTTTCACATTCCAAATATTTGTGGTATCCTATGCCAGCTACTTCTGACTAAGAACATCAGTTAGGAATATAATTTACTCACAGCTTTGCTTAGGAAAAAATTCCTCCTTCATCATTGTTCTTCCTGCTCAGTAATCTAGCAAGAACTCAGTAAACCAGAAGTTTTTGGCTTCTTTTCCAGCTGCCCCAAAAAAGGTATGGAGATGTCATCCTCTTCACAATGAATGACAAATCAGAATTATCCCAGTAGGATAATATATATACAATATACAGATTCTGGTAGTACAATATACTGAACCAAATACCTTCAGGTGATCAAGAATAAAAAGGCCCAAGTTTTGTTTGGTTAGCTTCTTTTTTTTTTTTTTTTTTTCTTTTCCAGAAATCCATTCTGAACAGTCAGCAGTGAGCTACAGGAAAAAAAAAAAAGCCAATTTAATAAAACTTTTCTGGAAGCTCTTAAAGGAACAGTTTTCAAAACTGGTCTGGAACTCTTGAGTGTCCTCTCCTAATCACTGCTGGCTAATGAAGCTTGTGGAAGTAGATCCATTGCCTTGACTTCACTCTGTCTCTTCTTATTGATCAGAATCCCTCAAAAAGTAGAAAGAACATAGATTAAGATTACACAGAACACAGTGGAGATTACAACTGTGGCTACGCCTCTAGCAAAGCTTTCTAGTAAGGGGATTGTGGTTGCTAGCACATACATCTCCATTTTAATACATGCATGTTTTGAAATAAACAGAAATGCTCATAACATATTTGCATTCCCAAATATTCACATTGATTTTGGCATACCAGCACCAGTATTCAACACAACACTGGGGGATAAAAATACAAGTAAGCATCTCAAACATCCCATTTTGATTTACTTTCTTGTGGATTAACATCTGTAGGTGGTCCCAGTGCTGAATTGAGACACTCTGTTGTACAAGCTAGCTCATAACTCCAGGGTTTAACGTTACACTGCACCAAGAAGGAAACGCCAGTTCACATTCCAGCCCTTTCACAAAATAGCATGGAAACTGTATACACTCATTCCAGGTATAAAATTAATCTCTTCCTAGTGCTCACTGGCCCATTAGCTTGGCAGCCTTTCAGCACTATGCTTTTAGAGCATCGACACATTTCAAAGAGGAAAGTAATGTGTCTTTAAATTCCTGTTTACAGAATTGAAGATTCTTTGATTCTGTTTCAAAATCATGATGATCATGACATAAAACAGGAGAGCTGTGTGTAAAATCAGTTGTCTGTAAGATCTCTATTATTCACACGCATTTTAAACCTTCTGAATTTGAGAAGATCCATTTACTTGAAGCAGCTTAGTGAACTTCAATATTCTGGTGACTGTATGCTACACATTTACAAAAGATTCATTTAAGAGATTTTTCTGTTTGTATCTCCCACATTTTTAATGCAAGTAGCAGTAGTAAGCTCATGCATAGCACTAAATCAATTTGATGTTTTTTCCCCAAGCTGCTTCCTTTCTGAATAGTTATAACAACACTTGGCATTAAAGAATTTCAGTATAGAAATTATACATATCAAAAACCTCATATTATGTTCTCAGATTGCCTGCTGTAATATGCTTCATTTATTTAATTATTTGAACTTTTTTGTCTGATTAATAAGTTGGTTCTGTAAACAGTTTCTTACGTGATTAACTGTGGACAGTTGGCTGACATTAGTTATTGTTTCCACTAAGACTCAATGAGATTGCAAAGGGTATAGAGTGATTAAAAGGTTCAAATTCTATACATCATATAAGCATTAAATTATATTTGCTTGTTGTTATATGAAATCATCTACAGTGGTAATAATAGAACTGTAAAGCTGTAACCACACCTTTCAAATTGATCTTCCAGAACTGTGTAACAACCTTTTAGCCTGGGTTAAAAGATTCTAGTTATTTTGGCAAAAAAGGTGCTAAGGTATTTTTCCCCTGTTTTTTCATGTACACTATGCACAAGTATAGTTTGTGTATGTCACACAATGAATACATCATAGTCTCTTTTTCATACAGAGTGATTCATAGGATCCCCACCTTTGAGTAACTATTTTTAAATGAATTTATCTTCTCAGGAAGATAAGTCGAATTCAGACAACTATTCAATTCTCTGTTTCTGTCACTGGTAGTTCTTCTTAGCTGTGGAAGCTTCTAGAAAAAGAGAAGGAAAAGGTTAATTTTCTTGTCACTTGCCCAACTTTTACACAGATGTAGTTTTGCACATTGCTGTGGGATCACTTCCCCTTTCCACAGTGTGAGAAGTCCAATTCAGACTTCCCATCGAACTCTTGCCATGCTGCCTGACAGCAAAGGCCATTCCTTGGAGCAGCCAAGGACTGCGCTCCTCTCGGTGTCCGAGCTGTGGCCTCCTCCAGGGCCGGAGCGCTGCCTGCATGCGCGGCGGGGCTCCCCAAGCCTGCCGGGGCTCCCCAAGCCTGCCAGGGTCCCCCGGACCCGCTCTTGCCCCTCAGCCGGCGCCGCGGGCCGGCGGCACCGAGGGACGGCGCGGACCGGGGGCTGCAAAGCGCGCCCAGGTGCGGCGGGGCGGAGCGGGGCCACAGCCGGCAGGTGACAGCCCCGCAGGTCCCAGCCCACCTGTGACAGCCCCGCAGGTGACAGCCCCGCAGGTGACAGCCCCACCTGTGCCCTGCCCCCGGGCCGGGCCGGAGAGCGTTAAATACCGAGCGGGCAGAGCCGCCCGCCCTGCAGCACAGGGGGCGCCGCTGTCGGTTCGGGTCGCCTCAGGGCTGGTCCCAGCGCCGCGTGCCTTGTGGTGCCGTCAGCCATGGAACCTGTGAGTACTTTCCCGGCGGGCGGCTTCGGGACCGCGGGGTTATGTGGTATTAGGATGGGGGGCAGCCCCGCTGGAGCCTCGAGGCCGGCCCGGCGGCTGGAACGGCGCCTTGCGGGAGGCTCCCGGGCTCCTGAGGGGGCCGTGCGGCGGAGCCGGGCCTCCCCCGTTCCCCGCCGGCCGCACGTGGCGGCGCCCGACGCCGAGGCGGCTCCGCGGGGCGGCGGGGACCGAGCGGCCCCTCACGGGGGACGGCCCCTGCCCAGCCCCAGGAAGGCTTTTGGCCTTAACTTTTTGACTTGTATTTGTGTGTATGTGTTATTGCTTTTTTTCGTAACTGCCAGAGGGCGCGATTTTTTGCCCTTTCTATTAGCAAGCTTGGGCGTTGCGCATTTAGGTGATGGTTAATTGCAACCTTGTAAAGCTGTTGATAGCAGTCAGGGAAATGCTTTTGTGGTCGTAACTTATTGAAATATACATGTATGTTTACATGGTCACTGAGAAATTGACAGCAGTATCATAACTTATTGAAATATACATGTATGTGTACGTGTTCTCTGAGAAATTGACAGCAATATCACAGCATCCTCTGAAGCCTCCTGGAAGACCCTCTGGTTTAATTGTGCTTATTCTGCTCTTCAGGGTAAATTCTCAGATTTAGCTTTGATTCTTGAATTTTAAGTGAGTTACACAAACCGTGGTTTTGTGTCATATGAGTTAACATTTTAAGGTTGATTTCCTCCTCCATTCAAACATACCAACTTGGGTTTTGGCAGTACCTTTGGTTTTTCAGCTACCAAGAGTCTGGGATATGGTGGAGCTCTTGAGAGCAAGCATTCTCATAATGCTTATTACTCATAGGTGGATGGGACTTTTCCTCAAGTATAATGATGTCTACAAAAAGGCAGCTGTAAGGGTCACACAAAAATGTGTTAATGCCTTTCTTTCTTTGCACTGTAATACATTTGCTCTTATAGTGTTCTCTGCAATTCTTGTGGCCCAGTTGAGGATAACGTGTTACTTTCAAAAAAATGAACTGCTTATCTATTAAATAGATTGTCTTAATTATGCCATTTCATTTGAAGTGTGTTTCCACTGGACAATTCTTCAGTTGCTATATGTTTGCTTTGAAGGACAGTTTGGAAATAGTGAACATGGGATGCTGGATGCTTCTGCTAAAAAAAGGGGGGAAAATAACCCCACGCCTTTGACTCCTTTATGGTTTCACATGAATAAAAGAGTGGATAAAAGACACTTAATCAGCTGTTGGTGTGTATAATGGCTGTCCTCATTCTAGGTTTTTCTCCCTTCTTTGTTATTTTTAAACCATTGTAATTAGATAAAGAGTGATAGTATTAATTCCTGTTGGGATTGCAAACAAAAAATACAACCATGTGCAGGATTTAATTATTTTATGTAACGGAGTCTGACAGCCATATGTGCAAACTTACACCTGGACTAGAATGTATGACAGATAAATCACAAAACTCCATTGTTCAAAGTCAGAATGCCAAAGATGGCTTTGAGAACCTTTAATGAAGGGAGCTCTTAGGTGGGATAGAAGACTGGATGTAAGTTTTGAGCATTTTGCCACAGACCATTGCAAATATGTGACCATTTTGCTAATGCAGAATGTTTTGCTTGAGGGAAGGCAAAAGCAAAAGGCTGCAAAATCAGGTTCTCAAGCTAGAAATGGTGTTTGTCTGGGCAATCTTGAGTCTGTTACCTTGTGTAGTATGGAATTCATTTAATTTTTTCTCATTATGTGCTTTTCCAGGCACATGGTTTGCTCATCTCACATAAAAAGGGTAGCACTGACATGCTGGGGATCTTTGGTTTGTCTTTTGCTCTCTGTGATGGGATAATCAGATAATCTTACTGTAAGACATAAAACTGAGATGTGGTGCACACATACATGCAAGTCCCTTGGCATTCCTTAATGGGACATTTCAATTTTGCAGCCTGTTTTGTGTTTTTCTTTTTTTCAATATGTATTTTGATGTTATTTTTCATGCAAGCAAAAAGAAACTTAAATAAAACTCATAGAACCATGCTCCTTGGCGATATAGTAGGATTCAAAGGACAGGGGCTGTTGAGGGATCATCACACATTGGGGGGATCTTCATTTCACTGGGCTTATTGGTAACAAAAAACAGACTACTAAAAGGATAACTGGGAAGAGAGCAGACTTCTGGTTTTTAAATGGATTTTGTAGCTGTTTGCTGACAACTTGTTTGAGAAATCTCTATTCCTGAGCTCTTTACCCTTTTGCATTGGCCCCCATCTGTTCTTGTCCTTCCTATCTCCCTTCAAATCTGTCACCTAAGTATGTTTCTTGTCCTCTGTTCCCCAGGGAGGCAGGAACTTGCAGAAGGAATTTTATTTTTCTTCTACACTGTCTGAATGTTTTGAATATGTGGTGTAAAGGCATTCATTCTCCTCTCTGTTCTGGTACCTGTTGTTACACTGACCCACTTCCTTCAGCTAGGAGAAATATTTTGATTAAAATTTATGTTCAGTTGTAGCATACCCAGCAGTCCAGAGCTTCTGCAGGCTCTACTCCTTTATAAATGTTTATGACTTAACCCTTGCTGCACCATTGTGCTGAGGAGGCATTCCTTTTCCCACACAGGGCAGAGAGGGAGGAAGGTGCTCTGATATTCAGAGGTGTGGAGCCCTGGCAGGACCTGCACGTGAAACCCCTGGTGTTTTAGAAACTTACAAACAAGTTTTCTAAGATCTCAGAGGGAACTGGGCCAGGGGCTTGGGTGCATCTCTTCAGCTTACATCTAACAAACACTTCTAGTGCAAAGCACTCAATTACATTTGCATTTCTTTCATTCTAGTCCAGTTGTCACTCAGAATATTGATCCTCACAGTTGGTCTTTTATTCATCTTAGTATGCATAGAATTTTTTTATATCTACTTTTGTGCCCATTTTTTAAGTACAAGCATATTTATAAATATATGAATCTCTGTTTTGGTATAGACTGTTTAGTAGATGATGATGTAATTAGTTTTTTTTGGTCTATCCCACATTGCTTCGTACTTCCAAAGTCAGTTCTTACACCATGACTGGAAACAAATGCTGCTTCCCAGTGCAAAGTAATGTATGATACATGAAGTGTCAGGCAATTCATCAGGAGTAAGGAGGAGATGGCCCTAAGGCAAACAGTTTGCTCTTTAGAATATAATGGTTACTTAACCCTTTAACTTAGTGAGCACGTGTATGAAGAACAAACTGGGGGAAAAAATCCTTCTCAAGAAGAAATACTAATTCTCTGTCTTGAGATGTTTGTATATGACAACAAACCCTCAGCCTATCAGTGCTGATATTTATGAGCAATTGATTTAAATTATAAAAACTGCGTCTGAATTTCTTTCTTGTGAACTGTGGATAGTTATTTCAAGTGGTTTTGGTAGCATGTTCCTTGAATAAGAAATAGTGGCAGGCATTTTAGTGTCTTTCTGCCAGCCTTGATTATTGCATGTTTGTTTTCAACAAGAGCTGCAAAAACTATAATACTTTCAGTGTGATTTCTTCCGCAGATGGAAACCTAAAGTGTATTCTTTAAATTGTTTAGAGAAATACTGATGGTCAACTTGAATCCTAACCTACTGGAAAGCCAATTGGAAGTAGTTTTAGGAAGTGCAATATTAATAAATACATTTGTTGATAGTGCAAGCCTTGCCTTATTTTTTGCTGCTTTACTTTTTTTATGAAAAGCCACACACAGACTAGAAATTTGAACACATTTGGCACAGGAGGAGCAAATGAAATTGCCTAGATGTCTGCTTTTAAATCCACAAAATAAACCTGGTGAAGAGCAGGGGCCAGCCTTACTCTAAGAGCTGTGACCATTTGCTTGCTGTTATAGCCACACATGCTTTTACCTGCAATAGTGTACAAAGAATCTTTGATACACTTTACATCTACTATTGTTATTATTTTGAAATAAAATTGATTTTGCCTTTTTGTATGAAGTGGCATGCATTTATATTTGCTCATGACTTTTTTTAGCTGCTGTTTAACTACTGGTAGGTCAGTATGTGCTTCTAGGAATCAGTATGTTTATTTTGCTTCCTTTTTTTTCCTTTGGTACAATTTTTACAAAGGAAAAATATTTTTAACAATGTTATTCTTTGCATGGCTGCTGTTTTTATTTTAAAGTAGCTGGTTTAGACCCAGACTGAATAAAGTACTTAAACACATGTGCAACTTTAAGCCCAGGGACTATTCACAAACTTAGAAGTTGCATGCAAATTTTTGTCCCTGGGGCAAGATCAGACCCAGAGAAAGAGTTGTGGAGTTTGCTGTACAGCTTTTGGATTAGAAATCCTCTTGATTTAAGGCCTGAATAGTTTGTTTGGCTGAAGGGCAGTTAATGGGTGTTCTGATTGCAAGAGGGTAGAGCAGTGTCCTGGATCTGCAGACATGAACATAAAACTGTTAAGAAGTTTTTACTGTCATTTTAGGTATGGGACCACAGCATGGTATGAAAAAAGGAACGTTGTCTGATGCTAACCCTTAACTTCTAATTCCTGTATTTAAGGAAATAAAAGGGTGGATTTACTAATTGTCACTGATAGCCCTCTGTCTGTGCTTTAGTTAGTCAAAATTTCTGGAAGAAGAGAATGTTGTATTTTTTCTGTCCTTCCACCCCCCACCACCCTGCAGAAAAAAAAAAAAAAAAGAAAGAAAAAGAAAAAAATAAAGCAATTACTTAGAAAAGGTTCAGCACAAAGCCCTCAGCTACTCCTGAAGGGGTTAATGCAGCAAAACTCTTGGAGACATCTGGCAGAAGCTGTGGGTGTTGGGTGTGGCAGATCCCAGGGCCGTACCAGTCTCTACAAGGGAGCTGTCATCCTCCTTGATTTATCCTTCCCTAATGTCACGGGGTATGGATGTTGAAACTGTGGCTAGAATGTGAAATACGAAAAACATGAAGATTATGATTTAGCGTCTGGGGAGGCTCATTGTTGGCCTCTGTTCACAAGTTGTAAGCATTGGAGGTAGCTTGACACAGGTTACAAAATCTGGTATGTAGCACAAAAAAAAGGCAAGAATATTTTGGCGTTTGGAACTCCTACATGTGTTAGTGCACAAAAATGAGTGATGGCAACAATTAAATCAAAGGCTGTGCTGATGATATATTACATTGGAAACACATTGAAGGTGCTTGTAAATAACATTTAAATAAATGTACTTTCTGGTCCTTCATTTGCAAATAAATGTAACAGAAACAGTGGATGAAAAAATAAAGAATTAACTGTCTTCAGTAAAGACAGTTTTGATAAGTA